TTTATTAAAATGAAAAAGTTTATAAGCCTATGTCAGATTCTTTAAAATCTTCAGCTATACCAACAACTCTTGAGTTCCTTAAACTATAGGATCCTGGCCGTGATTATTTGCTATAAACCCATGATAAAGGGGGATCAGGAAGAGAAAATATTTAGGCTGACAGGTTTGGCCTTAGGTTTCTCTGTCCAATTTCCTGGCCTATGCGTACTTCCATTTCAGATGGAATCTCTCACTGGGCTTCTCTGTGATTCAAATGAACAATCACTATTTATATCAAACACTACTTTAGTCATGTCTTTAAATTTTTTAACATCCAAAAAATTTAAATAGTGAAAAAATATAGAGTAATCACTAAGAGAACAAAAAGTATAGTGAAAAAAAATAATTAAAGAAATTAAGATGTGACATTGGAAAATATTTACTTAATCAAAATAAAGCAGATAAAGGATTAAATAATGGGAACAAAAACACATGAGATATAAAAAATTGACTAAATCCACATGTAACAATAATAGAGAATGTCAGGATGTCAGATTGGATTAAAAAACAAGACCCAATTATAAACTGTATACAGAAAACACTTTAGATTCAAGACACACAATAGATTAAAAGCAAAACCATAGGAAAAAAATATATCAGGGAACACAATTATGAAAAAAGATAATATCAGACAAAATAGACATTAAAACAATTTCTAGAAATAGAAATTTTGACTAATGAGTCAATCCATCAGAAAGCTAAAGCTATTATAAATATACACAAACCTAACAACAGAGCCCAAAAAAAAATGAAGCAAAAATGAACAAAAATTAGAGAAGTAGACAATCCAACAATAGTTGCAGGTGACTTAAATACTTCACTTTCAATAATGGACAGATCAAGTAGGCAGACCATCAAGATATACAGGACTTAACATTATAAACCAACAACTAGACCTAACAAACACCTACGGAACACATCAAAGAACAGCAGAATATACATTATTCACAAGTGCACACAGAACATTAAGACAGACTAGATGAGAAGCATAAAACAACCCCCAAGGTCTTAAAAAGGAGTGAGATCACAAAAAATGTGTTCTCCACTCAAAATGGAGTCAGAAATTTCTGAAAATCTACAAATTCACAAAAATTTTAAAAAATACTTCTAAATGATTGGTGGGTCCAGAATGAATCACAAGGAAAACTAGAAAACATTTTGAGATAACAAAACAAACACATATCAAAATTTATGGAATTTATCTAAATCAGTGCTGAGAGGAAAATCAATAGCTGTAGGTTCTTATATTAAAAAAGAAGAAAGATCTCAAATTGGTAACCTAAAATCCCACCTCAAAACACTAGAAAAAGAATAACAAATCAACAAAGAAGAAAAAAACAAAGATTAGAGGGGAGACTAAAAAATGGAAAACAGAAAATAAAGAATGAAACCAAAAGTTAGTTCTTTAAAAAGATGGACAAAATTGACAAAACCATTAAGTCAATTACCAAAGGAAAAAAAAGAGAAGACTGCTAAAGTCAGGAACAAAATAAGGTCATTATTGCCACTCCTATAGAAAAAAAAAGAATTGTAGAGAATCACTATAAACAACCACATGTCAACAAACTAGACAACTTTGATGAAATGGCCAAAAAGATGCTAGATAATGAAATTGATTTCAAAAAAACTGGAAATATTAATAGATTAACAAATGAAGAGACTGTGATAGTAAGTTTAAAACTAACCACTGAAGTCTACCAAACATAGAAGAATACCAATCCTTCACAAACTCTTGGAAAGAAGAGAATAGGGGAGAACTTCCAAAATTCTGAGACCAACATTACTCTGATACCAAAGCCAGCCAAAGACATCACAAGAAATGAAAATTCTATATTAATCTCTCTTATGAAATCAGACACAGCCAGACATAAAGGTGCATACTTGTAATCCCAGTGGAAGGGAAAAAGAGAAAAAAAAAAAAGTAAGGAAGGAAGAGAGGGAGGGAGGGAGGAAATCAACAAACTTTGTCTAGAAATACATAAAATGAATTATACTCTATGCCCAAGTTTGTACCAGGGCTGTAAAGTTGATTTAACATCTGAAAACTGAAAGAAGGAGAGGAAACCACATCATCTCAATAGACACCAAAAAAAGCATTTGACAAAAATTCAAACCCCCTTCATGATAAAAATATTCAATAACTAGCAATAGTCAAGAACCTCCCTCAACTTGATAAAGGGCATCTTTGAAAAACCCCAATTAACACTAGATCTAATGGTAAAAGATAGGATGTTTTCTCTTCCTAAGACCAGGAACAAGACAAGATGTCACCTCCCACCAAAGGCAGTCAACATGGGATACAAAGTTCTAGTCAGGCAATTAGTCAAGAGAAAGAAATAAAAAGCATCCAAATTAGAAAGGTAAAACTATTTGTAGATGATATGATCTTTTATATAAAAAATCCTAAGTAATTACTAAAACAAATGAGTTTAGCAAGGTAGTAGAAGATAAACATACAAAACACATTTGTTTTTCTATACACAGGCAGTAAATCTAAAAATAAAATTATGAAAACAATTCTACTTATAATAGTATCAAAAAGAATAAAATACATAGAAATATTTTAAGAATAGAATTGTAAAGTATATACTCTGACAACTATCAAATATTGAAAGAACATAAAGATGATCTAATAAAAGTTAAGACATACCATGTTTAGGGATTAAAATACTAAATATTCTTAAAATGGCAATACCTCCCAAATTGATCTACAAATTCCAAACAAGGCCTATCCCAATCCCTGCTGGGTTCATACGTGGAAATTTAGGGGATCCTGAATCACCAAAATGATCTTGCAAAACAATAAAGTTGGAAGATTCAAATTTCCTGATTTCAAAACTTACCACAAAGCCACAGGAATAAAGATAGAGCAGTTACTAGCAAAAACAGATAAATAAGTAAATCACAGTGATAGCCCAGAAAAAATACCCTCACATTTAAGGTAAATTGATTTGACAAGGATGCCAAGAAAACTCAATGGGGGAAAAGTCTTTTCAGTATACTGTGCTGAAACAATTTAATATCCACATGCAATGAGTAATTTAGAGCTCCTCTCACTTCATATGCAAGAAATTAACTCAAAATGGAGCAAAGATCTAAGTATTAAGAGCTAAAACTATAAAATTATTAGAAGGAAACAGGTAAATCTTTGTGACCTTGGATTTAGAAATTTTTCTTAAATATGACACCAACCACAGGCAATAAAAAATAAATAAACTGAACAGCATCAAAATTAAAAACTGATGTGCTTCAAAGGACATGATCAAGAAAGTTAAAAGGCAGCCTACAAATTGAGAGAAAATTTGTGCAAATCATTTATCTGCAAGGGACTTGAATCTAGAATATATAATGAATTCTAACAATTCCATAATAAAGAAACAACGCAATAAAAAATTTAAAATAAGTGTAGAATCTGATTAGACATTTCTCAAAAAAAAATAAGTATACAAAGTCAATTATCCTTGAAAAGATCTTCAACATCCTTAACTATCAGAGGGAAAAAAAAAAAAAAACAAAACTAGAGCGAGGCACTGGATTCAATTCTCAGCACTACACAAAAATAAAAAGAAAAGAAATAATTCAATTTTTAAGAAAAAAAAAAAAAACCTACAATGAGACACTACTTAATACCTACTACAATGACTATTACAAAAAGATGAAACAAGTGTTGTCAAGGACATCAAGAAATGGAAAACCGCCTTTACTCCTTTGGGGAATAGAAACAGTTTGACAATTCCTCAAATGATTAAACTTTGAATTCCACATGATCCAGCAATTCCACTCATAGGAAATGAAAATATGTCCACATAAAAACTTATACACAATCATTCATAACAGCATACTCATCATAACCACAACAGGGAAATAACTCAGATGATGAACAACTGGTGAATGAATGAAAAATGTGATATTTCTACATGATAGAATATTATTTGGCAACAAAAAGAAATAAAGAACTGATACACTACCACTTGGATTAACCTTGAGAACCTTAAGTGAAAGAAGCCTACAAGAAAGCATCATATAATGTGATTACATATAATGTGATTCCATTTGCAAGAAGTGTTCAGAATAGGCCTGTCTATAAAGATGGGAAATACAGTAGTGACTGCATGGGCTGGAGGGAGTGAGAGAAGTGTTGGAGAAAGTGATTGCCCATGAAAACAGAGGGGTTACTCTTTTTGGGTGGGGCAGATGATGAAACATTATAAAATCATGGCAATAGTTACACAATTCTGTGAATACAATGAAAATCATCAAGGTGTACACTTTAAATGGGTAAAATGTATATCAAGTGAATTATATCCATACTACTATTATAATAAATAAAAGAAAAATACAAAACTAAAGAGAAATTCACAATTTTACTCAAATGCCTCCATATGTATACTTAATCAATTAATATCATAATAGTACCAAAAAATAATCTCATTGAAAATTTATAAATTTATCTTATAAAAAAGAAAATACAAATTTATAATTTTAAAATTTGTCAAGAGAAACTTTCTCCTTTTCATTTTTTCATAGTATCTTAATTTCTATTTAGAAAAGATATTTGGTGAGTATTTAAACAGTATACACAAAAACAAAGAAATGTACTAGAGAGCACGGCAGTTGAGTGCTTGCGTGTGGGATGCCCTGAGTTTAATCCTCAGCACTGCCAAAAAATAAAAGGGAAACATGCAAACACTAGGGCTCCAAATAAGTAAAATTTACTTACACACTTATTTCTTTCATTATTTCATAGCTCCTTAAATTGTTATATATTTATTATGCATCCTTCTCAGCTAGGATGCAAGGTACAATCTCCAAAATGCATGATTGTTTGGTCATTTAAATAAAATTTGCACCCACAAGCACAAATTATCAGCTATCTTTTAAATTTTGCATCAAAAGAAAATGTCAATCAGGCATATAAATTTTAAATTTGAATGTTTAGACACTTTCCAGAATTGTATTACCTGATCAATTCCCCTTCCTTTGCACTGAAGAATAATGACTTCAAGAAGTTTGGCTGCATGACATTCTGCATCTTCTCCTGCATCTCCACATAGTACCTACAGTAATTACAATTTACCTCAGTAGTGAGTGGTATTGCATGCAATTTAATCAAGAGCACTTGAAGCAAATATTCTATACAAACTCAATCATAGGGATTATAGCTTTCCAAGTTTACTTATCAGCCCAAAGAAGGGAAGGTCAAAATAAAGTCCACCTATCTTCTCTAGTACCACTCTAATTCCTTATAAGGCATAATAATTCACTCATTTGACTCTAAATTAATAAAGTAAGCTATTTGCATTAACTACCCAGATAAATAAAGATTCCCTTTTAAAGCAGCAAAGCAATGAAAAGAAAATAACTTTTCAAGCAAACTATTTTTCTGTCTCTTTTGCCCATTTTTTTCATAACTGTAATTTGATACTATATATTTTTTAATTTTCCCACCTGGAATTCATAATTAGAATATTTTCGTTGGCTATTATAACTAATCATGTTACATATAGTAGGACATAGTACATGAATATAACAAAGTTACTAAACTGTTCCTCTATTGTCAATTCTGTATTTTTGCTATTACAAATGATTCTATAATAAACATGTTCATATGTAAAATATGGAATATAATTTTCTTATGATCCCTAGAAGAGAGGTTCCTAGAGTAGAACATGCTTATATTAGAAATTAAGACAAAAAATGAGTCCAAACACAAAACATAAGGAAATGAACTGACTTAACCCAAAAAAATAGAAAAAAATGAGAGCAGAAAATTAAAATACAAAGAGAAACCAAAAGCAGATTCACTAAGAAAAAAAAGACTAAGTAGACAACTTTTGCCAAATGTTTACAAAGCAAAAACTTAAACATATTAGAAATGTAAGACAAATATAAAAGAGAAATAAGAAATAAGAATATGGGGAACACTATTTCCATATTTGAAAACCTAAACAAATTGAATTATTTCCTAGAAAAATACAATTTTAAAAAACTGATTTGAGAAAGACAACAGAAGGAACATTCCTATTTAATTGCATTCCCTCCCAAGAGGTTAAAATAACAGTGAAGAGTTTTTAATAGTATATATTCAACAAAGAGAAAAGGAAAAACACACCAGTAAAAATTTTAGAAGCTGGAAAATAGTGAGCTAATTCATAAGCATATGACAGCAGAGCTAAGAGTGAGGGCTATTTACATAAGTTTAAATCTCTCCCTCCAGGACAATACACAAAATCCAGCTTCTAAAACAGCTCTGGAACAAGTACAGCTCTGCCACTCATTACTTGTACTTTTAAAAGCCACTTAACCCCTGTGTCTTACTTTCCATCTATAAAATGAGGATAATAATAATACCTACCTCAGGGATTTGTATGATATGGAAAAAAAGAAAACATTTCCCAAAATTGCACTCACATGGAAACTTGTTTGCTTAATTGATTTCTGTTTTCTCAAAGGGAAAGAAACAAGATACATCCTGTAATTTTAAAAATGGAGGCAAGGAATGGTAGCACACACCTGTAATCTCAGCAACTCAGGAGGCTGAGGCAGGAGGATGGCAAGTTTTAGGCCAGCCTCAGCAACTTAGCGAAGTCCTGTCTCAAAAAAAATTTTTAAAGGAAGAGGGTGTATATTGATGGGAGAGTGCCACTAGGGTCAATCTCCAGAACCACTAAACACGTAGAGAGGGCTCTGGAACTAGACTACCTGGGCTTCAAATCTGCCTCCAACACATAGTAGCTATGTGATTTAAAACAATTTACTAAACTCTAGCCACAGCAAAAGAAATTAAATTATGCCCTAGTTCTCTCATTAATAAAAATGTGACACCTTCTTCATAATATTACAAAGATTAAAAAAGTCAATACGTATAAAGTGCTCAGAAAATATCTGATATATTGAAAATTAAGTAAATATAATTTGATATTAAAACCAAGAATATGAAATATATTTTAACTACTTAGTAAGTATAAGGACATTATGAGTATCAGTTTTAGTGTACATGCTTTAACACAGAGCACCTGAGTTACTAATGGAACATACAGGATTGCTGTTTTCTACTTGTTTTCTTTCTCCCTTTCTGTCTCCATAATGGGAAAACTGAAGATGCCAGTGATTTTGATTTAACAAGATGGGCTATCGCAGTGCTAAACTGAGGTTTTTAAATATCACAGCTTAGATGTGAAGTTTAATGACTTCCCAAAATCTCCCAGGCTTTTAATAATGAACTGGAACCTCAAAGAGACAGACTGATTTTCAGTTCACAGCTCTTACCAGATTCTGGTACACATCTCTTCCAGTGAGAATACACACTTGCTATTTTATTCTCTACTCCAGAATCAAACTTTTTGTTTTCAGGCTAGTTAAGCTTTCTAAAATCTGCCTGATGGCTTTAGGCAATATAGTTTTAAATTTATGTATATGCCAATAATTATCTAAATGAGAAGGAAAACATTATTTAGCCATCAAAGATTCCAAGACATAACCAACAGAGGCCTAAATCTAATCTATAAAGACAACACAGTAGATAATCATGTTTGTGCATAAAGATAAGAATAGCTATAAAAAAATAATAATAAAGAATAAATTAGGGCACAGGGGCTGTAGCTCAGTGGTAGAGTACTTGGCTAGCACATGTGAGGCTCTGGGTTCAATCCTCAACACCACATAAATAAACAAATAAAATTAAAAAATTTTTAAAAAGGATTGCCATTATAGGGATTATAAATTATCTTGTCCTGAGCTAAATGATGCTGTTTTTCTAACTACTATAATTGTTTGGGGCTGCGTTTATAGCTAAGTGGTAGAGCTCTTGTCTAGCATACATGAGGTCCTAGACAAGAGCTCTACCACTTAGCTATAAGTACTGCTTAAAAAAAAAAAAAATTGTCTTATATTGTTCAAATTACCTATACCTAGTGATATCCAATATACACATTCAATCAAAAGAGAAAAGATCAATGACAGAATGGGAAATTGTGTGGCCAGTTTTCCTAGCTTTTCTTAGCACATTTCTTTAATTAAGTAATGAGTTTATATTTTAGAAAGAAAAAAGTAGAGAAGTACAGTTGGTCCTCTATAGGTTACCTATCCAGATTCAACCAAAATATCAAAAATACTTTTTAGAAGAACTACATCTGTATTGAACACATACATAGTCTTATATAACAATTATTTATACAATATTTACATTGTATCAGTTATAAGTAGAGATGACTTAAAGTATATAGAAAGTATGTGCATAGATTATATGCAAATACTATCTCCTATTACTCAATAAGCTTGAGCATTCGTGGAGTTTGGCATCCATGGGGATCATGAAATCAATTCTTCATTAATACTAAGGAACAGGGCTGGGGTTGTGGCCCAGTGGTAGAGCACTTGCCTAGCCTATGGGAGGCATTGGATTCGATCCTCAGCATCACATAAAAATTAAGTTGTTCATCTACTGCTAAAAATATTTCTTTTTAATTCTAAGGAACAACTATATTTATCTTTAAAATTATAATGTAGATATTAAAGTAGTAAACATTTTAAGCACAACATATATCATGAAACTTTCAAATTACAACAATCCCAAATTCATTCTGAAAATGCAAATTGACAAATACATGTTGATAAAGGATATAAATATTCAAGTATTAGTAAGAAACACTGTGACAATTGATTAGGATATGCTTACCTTTCTACACATTGTAAAAAGTACTTCTAAATGCTTTGGATTTGATAGTAAAGTATTTGTATCTATTGTCACATAATTATGCAGGAGAGGCATCATGTCTAAGAAAAAATTCAAAATCCCAATGAGATTTGAGCAACAGGAGTAGAAATAATTATTCCTAGTGAAACCACACTTCCGTAATGCCCAACATAATTCTTTTACCTAGCAACTACAAAATGCTAGAAATGAAGGTGGTCTGCCCTTTTTGTAAATGAGGAAAATGTGAATTTGAAAGATTAAGATGCTTACCATTTATTGTAGTGATTGTCCTGAATTTTTGCTTATTCACCTGAATACTTCCCTGCCCTCTCCCATTCCCCACCAGAATGCAAGCTTCAAAAGGGTTTCTGAAGTTCACTGCCATATTACTGAGTTTAGAAGAGCATTTGGAACATAGCTGACATTCAGAAAATATTTATTGAATTAACATAAGGACATGTGCTCTGGTTGCAAAGTAACTTAACACAACAAGAAACACAGCCTTAACTCTTTTGATTATATATAAACACTGCTACAACAGCTCCACCCTATTCAGGACAGAAAAATAAGAACATTTTCTAATTAGTGCTAGAATCATGTGTGATATTTGAAGTGTCAAAGGAGTAAATATCCAGAACCAGAAAGTCAAAAGGCTATATGGTCAAAGCCATACCTGTAAAGTATTCAAAGCAATCCTGCTGGAAAACTTCATATAAAATACCTAGAAGTTGCCACATTTGAGGGGAAATTGTGTGACAGGTTAAACTATATGCCAGTGAAAGAATTTCTTCATAGAATTCTAGAAGGAAGAAAATCTCTCATTAGAATATCAGAAATAGCAAAAAATAAACGTAAAGACCACGCAGAGGAACAACACACGTTCCTCCTATGTGCTTACCAGCATCCCTTTCTCAGCATCAGCACTTTCACCTTTCAAGACTTGTCCTCAACTTGAGGCAAGGCAAAAATTTGTTTTTACTAAACTTTCTTTTAATACTGGAAAAAATATAAGTTTTTCTATTTTATAACAAAATATAATTTATTTTTATAAAGTTATATTAGAATGCATGAGGGAAGGAATAGATTACCATACCTCTTTCACGTAGAGGATTTTAAACTTACAAATAATAATATTCTTTGAAGAGCTTAATTACATAGGGATTAAAATATCTACCTATTTCACATTTATATTTTTAAAAGCAATTGTTGCTACCAGTATTTTTCAATCCATAAAACTTAAAGATTTGCATAGTATTCTTCAATTTACCTCAAAACAATTATACCCACGGGGCACTGTAGCACACACCTGTAATCCCAGTGGCTCGGGAGGCTGAGGCAGGAGGATCGTGAGTTCAAAGCCAGCCTCAGCAAAGGTAAGGTGCTAAGCAACTCAGTAAGACCCTGTCTCTAAATAAAACACAAAATAGGGCTGGGATATCACTCAGTGGTCGAGTGCCTGAGTTCAATCCCCAGTACAAAAAAAAAAATTATACCCACTGTAAAGTAGAAGAGTCCAAAAGAAATGTTCTTACATTCACACATATTTAATACCATCACCCTCAATCAAAAGTAAATTATAGCTAAATATATAATCAGAAAAGACAAGCCTCACTGTAAGTTTCAAATAACTCCTACCATGTCACTGAGCCAAGAAGTCTAACTAGAAAGTTTTATTTTTGTCTCAGAAAGGTAACTAACACTTACCCTGAAAGCCTGAATAATATATTCTTTGTCTTACTTAAAAGAACATATTCAGAAGCTACTAATACAGACATTTGCCTTATTAAAAGTAAAATAAGATAGAAAGTATAAATTTTGGGAACTAATCTGCTATATAAGGTAATCACTTGAAAACCAACAAATTGTCTGAATAAAGGATTTCTGAAAGTTTCAACATGGCATAAAATCAGTAAAATAGAATGGAAAACCTAGAAATAAATCCATGTATTCACACTCAATTCATTTTCTACAAAAAAAAAAAAGCACAAGAACACATATAGGGAAAAGACAGTCTCTTCAATAAATGGTGCTGATAAAACTGGATATCCACATACTGAAAAATGAAATTAGATGTCCATCTCATACCATATACAAAAATCAACTCAAAATGAATTAAACACTTGAACATTAAGACCTGAAATTATAACACTACTAGAAGAAAACAGAAGGAAAAGTTCTGTGCCATTGCTCTGGGGAGCAATTTTTTTATGACCCCAAAAGTACAGAAAACAAAAGCAAAAAATAGACAAACAGAATTATGTCAAACTAAAATTTTTCTGCATAGCAAAGGAAACAATAGAGTGAGGAGACAATCTACAAAATGCAAGACAATATTTGTACACCATACATCTGGGGGGAAAATCATATGTCTAATAAAGAATTACTATCCAAAATACATTAGGAACTTAATTCAACAGCAAGAAAATACAAAAATATAATTTTAAAATTGGAATCAGGCAATCTTGCATGTTCCCATAGTCCAAGCTACTCAGGAGGCTTAGGCAAGATGATTGCTTCAGTCCAAGCCACAGTTAGACCTCATCTCAAAAAATAAAAAGACAAATAGATATTTTCAAAAGAGAACATGTAAATGGCCCATAAGTATATGAAAAAAAATGCCCAGTATAACTAATCATCAGGGAAATGCATATTAAAGCAGATTAAAACTCACATCAGTTAGAACGTTTATTATCAAAAAGATAAATGCTGGAAAGGATGTTGAGCAAAGAGAATCCTCAAACAGTGTTAGTCATGCAGCCACATGGACAACAATGTAGAGGTTCCTCAAAAAAGAAAAACCAGAACTACCATATGATTCAGCAAAACCACTAATGGATACATATCCAAAGGAACTGCAATCAGGATCTTGAAGAAATGTAATAGTTAGAAATGAAAAAGCTAAGTGCCCATTGACAGATGAATAAATAAAGAAAATGTGGTACATATCCAGGATAGAATACTATCTAGTATTTGGGAATTCTATTCTATTATTATTATTATTATTATTATTATTATTACTACTACTACTACTACTACTACTTTATTACTATTAAAAATATTTAGAGTTAATTCTTAATACTGCACATTCTATGCATTTTGACAAATGTATATAATGCCATATGTCTATCAATACTGTATCACACAGAAGAGTTTCAATGTCCTAAACATCCCATACTCCCACATATTCATCCTTCCCTCTCTCCCATTCCTAGTCCCTAGCAAGTACTGATCATTTTACTGAAACATATGCTTTTTAAAAATTATCTTTTACGTATTTTTAATTGGCCAAATTAAAAATGTGCAATTTATAGTGTACAACAAAATGTTTTGAAATATACATGTTTTCTGGAATAGTTAAATCATCTAATTAAGGTATCCATTACTTCACATACTTATTTTTTGTTGTGAAAACACAAAAACAACTCTCTTAGCAATTTCCAAGTATATAATACATTAACTATAGTCACCATTTTGACCAACATCTCCACATCTCAATCCACTCCCACCCTTGGAAACCACCATTCTAGTGTCTCTTTCCAAGAGTTCAACGTTTTTAGATTTCACATGAGATCTCACAGTACCTGTCTGTTTCTGACTTATTTCTATCAACAGCCATCCTTGAACTGTATGTGAAGACCTTTTCAGCACTGCAGCCAGGGAGTGGGAAAGTCTGGTATTGGGAACTTCCCGTGGCAATCCCACAGAGTAAGATCACCCAAATACATGTGAACTCCCTCTCAGCTCTGCTCAAAAATGTCTCATACAGTACTGGAGATGGGGTGACCTGCTATTGTCACACAGCCTCTCAGAGATGGGTGAAACCTGCCAAGATGCCAACATGTTGACTACAAGACATCAAAAGCAAGATTCCACCCTCAAAAATTATCACTGCCTTTGATATATACCCCCTTAGATAAACCACGGGAACCATTTTCTAATTGTCCAGCTCCCGCTCCTGTGAGGGCTGAACCTATCAGGTCCTCCATCCTTCAAAACTATAATTATGTCTCTGTATTTTGTTCTTTACTAATTATTTCAGACTTTAAGTTCTTTAGAGGCTTATCCCTCTGAGCAGAAAAGGGTTCCCTGGTGAGGAGCTGGCACCCACAATATATTTCACTTCATATAATTTCCTTTAGGTTCGTCCACATTTTTGCAAATGACCAAAGTTCTTTCTTTTTAAAGGCTATGTAAATACTGTGTGTGTATGTACATGTATCATATTTTATTCAAATAATCTCAAATACTATAAGTATTTGAGTGAGATCAATACTTATTGAATAAATAATCTCAAATACTATTAATATATATTAGACATGCATGCTCAATTTTTTTACTAATGAGCAAACAATAAAAAGTTTGGAGACAACTACTCTTAAGCCATAACATACTTTTCTTTCTACATCAATACTAAATAACTTGTGTCTTTCTCATGCCCACATGTCTTGGGATTGGCATCTTCAAAATGCTTGAAACTACAGAAAGTAGCCTCCTCTATCAAAACTACCCATCAGCTCATAATATCTAGCATCAGTTACTGATTCTACTCACAAGTCAGGCACTTTTAACAGAAAACAGGACAATTCACACTGCTAGTAATAAATATTTCTATTTTTAAATATTTTTCAATCCCAGATTAAAGAATCTCACCAAAACCTCACCTCAGTTCATTTCTAAAAATGTAAAATACAACATTCTCTGTCCTTTATACTTTTCAAAGCCAAAAATTCTCACTGGATATATTATATAAGTTACTCCTTCTCTAAATGGTCCATCTGTCAAATTGAAGGGCTAAAAATGTACTTTAAGTTCATCAAATTGAAAAAATAAAGTCTCGATTATCTTTCTTTGGGGGGGAGGGGTTTTGAATCTAGGGCCTTGCACATGCTAGGCAAGTGCTCTACCATTAAGTTATATCCTCAATCTTCAATTAACCTTTTTTGGGAGTGGGGTGATGATACAGGGAATTGATCCCAGGGACACTTAATGGCTAAGCTATATCCCCGGACTATTTTTATATTTAATTAGAGACAGGATTTCACCGAGTTGCTAAGGGCATCACTAAATTGCCGAGGCAGGCTTTGAACTCGCAATCCTCCTGCATGAGCCTCCTGAGCCGCTGGGATTACAGGCATGCACCACCACTGCCGATTTTTATTTAACTTCTGAACTTACCAATTACGTGCTTCTGTAAAACAAGGTCAATGATCCGTAGACAGATATTCTCTAATTGCTGTGTGATCTGAAAACAAATTTTAAATATTTACTTTAAAATTCATCATGATAACCTTTAAGTTAATATATAAATTAATATTATCCCAATAAAAATACCTATAAGACATTTCTGAGGGGAATTTGATAAATTAATTCTAATTTTCATGTGAAAAATTAACCATGCAAAAATGCAAGGAAGGGGCTGGGGTTGTGGCTCAGCAGTAGAGTGCTCACCTAGCACGTGCAAGGCCCTGGGTTCGATCCTCAGCAGCACATATAGATAAAATAAAGGTATTGTGTCCAACTAAAAAATAAATTTTTAAAAAATGCAAGGAAATTCTAAAAAGTAGACCAAAGATGGGGATAAGAATAAATCTATAGTAAATCTGTGAATTAGATTAGTTCCTTACCTGTTTTATACCAAAATAAATTTATAATGGATAAAGATTTCAGATGCAAAGAATTAAAACAAAGAAAAATACTAGAATAAAAAAAAAGAATTCTCGTGTAATCCTGAAGTGGGAAAGTGAATCAAAGCCCAGAAATTTAAAAAAAAAAAAAAAAAGCTGAGCCATCTAATTGCAAAAATTAAAATTTTCTGCATGAAGCCAAAAATAAAAATTTGAGTGAAATACTATCAAATGGTATTACAAAAATCATATTCCCATTATATGAAATCAACAGAAAAACAGGCAAAGGTTATGAAAAATAAATCTAAACAAGCCTTAAGCTTATAAATAAAGATGTTTAATATATGAGAAAATTATAAATTCAAAGTGCAATATTAATACTTTTGACCTATCAGACTGCCAATGATCAAAAAGTATGAGACTGGAAAGAAAGACTGTGGTACACTGATTCATGGACTATAAATGGGCGCACTCTATTTAGGACAAATTAGCAACGTCCTTAGAACTAACTCATATAAAAACCATTTAACCCAACAATTCCACGTCAAGAAATTACCCTCCAGACATTGTTATGTGCACAAAATGACATGCAAAAAGCATTCATTGCAACAATATTTGTGATTTCTCACCAATGTCCATTTAAACAAGGGACATCTAAATTATTTCTATTAACTAGCAACCTGTTATATAAATTTGACACATCATACAAGAGAATAGTATGCAACCATTAAAAATGTGTAAGTTTACTAACTGGTATAGAAGGATCACCAAGATGAATTAAATAGAATATGGTAGCTAAAAATTGTGCATAGTATGTTACTGTGTTCATAAAAGAAAAATATGTACACTTTTTGTTTGTATGACAGTAGAAAAACCTCTGGAAGAATACCAAAAAAGACCTGAAAAAACTTTGCTATCTTCTGCAAGGGATAAAATTAAGATAACTAGAGAACTGAGTAAGAAAGTAAAATTTCACTGAGTAATCTTTTCAGACCTTTTAAATCATTCAACATATTTGTTTTAAACATTTTTTAAATAAGTTACAATTAAAATCCATCATGTTAGATTTTTACCGTAAATATCCAATTTCATCTTTTAAGCACTTTCTAATACTCAATTATTTTCTTCATTGTTGTTTTTGAAGTATTGGGGATTGAATACAGATTAAACTCCTGAACCCAGGAATGCTCTAGCACTGCCCTATATTCCCAGTTTTTTTGGTTTGTTTGTTTTTGTTTTGAGATAGTCTAAGTTAGCTAGGCTGGACTTCTAATCCTCCTGCCTCAACTTCCCAAGTAGCTGGGATTATAGATCCATACCACTATATCCAGCTGTGTTTTTATTTTTAATTTTCACATAATAATGGTGCATTTTTGTGGGATACAGTTTAGTAACCCGATATATGTTAAACTATTATCTAAAGTTCAAATGATCCAAAATGTCCCAGTTTAAAAATTGCCAATATACTTAAAACCATTAAATAAAAATGTACATGCTTAAGCACCTATTTCAGATTTCCAATTATGCTCTTCATGCATTAAGTATTTGTACAGATATGGGTTTTTTCCCTTTTAAGGAAATACTGCTTTCAAAGTTTGCTTTTAACAAGGCAAAGTTCAAAATTAAAGGGCAAGTGACCTAGAGACCAAGATTTCAGTTGGTGTTTTGTCTCTAACTACCTATGACCTCAGTAAAGCCAGTTAGCTAAATCATTAAGGCTTTGCTCTATAGTATAGGTAAGGGAGTTAGATTTGTGTTTCTCAGTTTTAACCCACTCCTCCTTTGAAAACCAGAGTTCACAGCTCCTTTAACATTATTTGAAATTCAAAATAAATTTAATATCAATAGTGAAAAATTAGGGCTGGGGATATAGCTCAGTTGGTAGAGTGCTTGCTTAGCATGCACAAGACCCTGGGTTCAAACCCCAGCACCACTGCCAAAAAAAAATAGTGAAAAATTAAAACAAAAAGACCAGTTTTGTTTTCAAACTAATCCTAAAGCTAATTCTCCAACTTCTTACACCCTCACCCACACTCAGAAAAACTGGAATAGGTGATTTCTAAGGTGTCTTCAAATTTAAAGCATAAGTTCCAAATTTAAGGTGAAAAAACTATCCTTACAATACATATTGTAATTTAACTTGGAATATCTCACTGTTACAAGAGGACCATAGTTTCAACATGAACAAAAAAATAAAATGATGAATATGAAAATAAAAATTCACATTAAGCCCTTCAATTAAGAAGATGCATCCAAGAGAGAATACTGAACCATTTTTAAGACATTAGCAAGCTCTCATTAATATCTGATAAACACAGGATAAATCAACAGTCACATGGTTTAACAATAATAATGCTGTTATGGTTTAGATGTGAGGTGTCCCCCAAAAGCTCAAACGTGAGACAATGCAAGAAGGTTTAGAGAAAAAAAAATGAGCCTTAACCCAATCAGTGAATTAATCCCCTAATGGGATTAACTGAATGGTAACTGAAGGTAGGTTGGGTGTGTCTGGAAGAGGTAGGTTCCTGGGGGCGGGGCATGACTTTGGGGTATATGTTTTTGTATCTGGTGATCATCATGTCAGCTGCTACACTCCAACACACTCTTCTGCCATGTTGTTCTGCCTCAACTCAAGCCCCAAGGAATGGAGCCAGCTGTCTATGGACTGAGACCTCTGAAACTGAGCCCATAAATAAACTTTTCCTCCTCAAAACTGTTTTTGGCAGGTATTGTAGTCACAGCAGCAAAAAAAAAAAAAAAACGCTGACTAAAACATGCTATTTAAAGAACTGGCACCTACTTCCTAAGTCCTCACTGTATAAAACAAGAGCTCCATCCCTGACAAACCAATCAACTTGTGCTCACAGAAATAATGAGTAAAAATCTAATTTGAGGTGAGTCCACGTTATAATTCAGAAGGAGAACTGCAGG